TCACTTCTGTTCAGTGCTCCTCACCGTCCTTGATGCTGCTTTGGCTCAGACACTCCCAAGCAATGCTGAGGCCTGGGAGCACTCCCCATCTGCAGCCTGGATGTGGCCATCTGGTGCGGTGGAGGGGAAAGGGGATGTAACCATGCAGACATGGGTAGAGCTGCGCCGGTTAGCCTCCAAGATGTGGAATGGTCCTGGATCCTTTGGGAAGCTCCTGTAACCATCCTCACCTGCATCCCTTTGAAGTCAGGCCAAGTTCAAGCACACCTAAGGTCCCAGTCGCGCAAGTGTCCCACCAGAATACCCACCCTCCTGGCCCTTGGGCACAATTTTTCCTTCACCCTTCATTCCGCTGACCAAAGCCAGCCCCAAGTTCCCGAGCAGAAACACTGGCAAAGCAGACAGTATGAGTATCTACACATATTTAGGTGACATGTCGCTTGGAGGGGTGCCCTGCAGTCAGCATGAGGAGCTAGGATGCCCTAGTGAGGCCCCATCTGGAGTACTCTGTCCAGTTCTGGGCTTCCCAGTTCAAGAAAGATGAGGAGCTACTGGAGAGAGTCCAGTGGAGGGCTACAAAGATGACGAGGGGACTGGAACATCTCTCCTAACGAGGAAAGGCTGAGGGAGCTGGGCTTGTTCAGCCTGGAGAAGGCTGCGAGGGGACCTAATAAATGCCTATAAATACTATAAGTGTGGGTGTCAGGAGGATGGGGCCAAACTCTTTTCAGTGGTGCTCAGCGACAGGACAAGGGGCAATGGGCACAAACTGAAGCATAGGAAGTTCCATCTGAACATGAGGAAGAACTTCTTCACTCTGAGGGTGACAGGCCCTGGCACAGGCTGCCCAGGGAGGTTGTGGATTCTCCTTCTCTGGAGATATTCAAACCCCAGCTGGATAAGGTCCTGTGCAGCCTGCTGTAGGTAACCCTGCTTTGGAAGGGCGGTTGGACTAGATGACCCACAGAGGTCCCTTCCAGTCCCTACCCTTCTGTGATCCTGTGCTTCTGCAATAGTAGACCTGGTAGGTAGTAGTTCATGATCAAAACTTCAGTGGTTCACAGAAGCTGACATGCATGCATGGAAGTTTAAGACATGAGTATCTCCTTGCGCAAATAAAGCAGGGGACTAAGCAAACCACTTCTGAAAACTGAATGATTCTGAACTGTGAAGTCAAAGAGCCAATTTATATATTTATCATACTGACAGATATCATAAGCACTCAATCTTGTTAAGGGACCTCATTTTAGACTCTCATGAAAAGTCTCCCGATGAGAAAAAGTGTGGAGAGGTTAAAAGAAAAAACAGAGAGAGGGAAATGACTTACAAAAAAGAGCACAGAAGAATTCAGAAGGAATATGCTTATCTCCCAACATAAAGCACAGGAAGGAACAAGCAGCAGTAACACACATAAAAGCAAACACAACATCACCTTAATATGTCTGCTCAGCTGCGTGGGGAACTTTTCTTCTTCTACGTCTTTCACAGCTGCTTTGCCTCTGAACAAGTCAATTGTCATACCAGGAGGAAGCAGACCCTGATGCTGCTGCCATTTCAGTGCCTTTGGAGGAGTTGAAAGCCATACAGTTAAGTATCAGTTAACATCAGAACTTGCTCCTAATTAACACAATACAGCAACAGTTTTTTGTACCCTTACAAACTGCACACCTGTACAGTTCGAGACAAACACGCTGCAAACAATTACTTGAAAGAAGACTTACGAGATTATGCTTCCTAACTCATGACCAAAAACAGAACATTATCCCCAAATGATTTTTGCAAGTGAGAATGACTCACCCCACCTTTCTCATTCTACCTTTAGTATTCAGTATATAGCGCATACACAGTGTGAGTTCAATTTTGCATTCATTTCAATTACCCAACCTGTTGTCTATTTGCATAGAATTGCATACATTACAGTTAAAAATGACACATAAGCCTTCTTGGAAAGCACAAGTGAACTTCATTCAAAAGACAGAATCTTCTACAATGCCTTCAGCAGAGAGCCGCCTTCAGTCACAGGACACGCCTGTTATGCTGAGAGAATTTATTCAGCATATTTACAAGCTTAAAAAGTAAGATGTAAGCCATAAAACAGCAAAATACATGAAATACTGTCTGCACAGAGTTATCGGTGAACACATTCTGAGAATGAAAAAAGACTTGTAAGCACAGCAACAGAAACAGCATGCGTTACTACGTACTCTGAAAATAACCTTTTCTATGCGCTAGGCATTTATTCAACAGCAAGAAATCTGTTGCTGCAGTGCTGACTTCCTACAAGTGCTAAATCCTGGCCACATGGAGAATATATTGTTTTTAACTACATCACATGCAAATGCACAATATTTAAACTTTACCTTTATAGAGCTGGAGAATCAACTAAACCATAGTTAATTTAATGTGGCAAAGATCTACAGGAATCGACACAGCTACCAAAATATTTCTCAAGAATTACCTGTCCCAACAACGCCATAAGACGAGATGGAGGTACCACGCTGACTTCTCCAGCTAAAGCTTGTGCAATAGCAGCTCTCCGCTTCTCTTTGCTACTTCCATCTGGGTATGCCTAGACAGAAATTATTTTTATGAAGTGATTCTTCTGAACTATTTTTCCATAAAAATATTCATTGCTCTGAACTGAAGCCCCTTACAGACTGAATTTCTATTAGGCCTTCAAAACAGCCCTTCTCTTTAGCACCAACCCTTGAAATGTTTGGGATATACTTTCACTAAAAATGTCAGACTGACATAATCAGTCAGAAACAACACCTCATTATTACTGTTCCTATACAACAGCAATTTTATTTACAAAGTGTATATTTTCTTCTGCATATATACGACAGGAAAAGCAAGGCACAGGTGTCATCCTGCGGTGGGATACAGGTACAAATCCTGAAGCTCCCACCTGAGGCATGCTTCATAACCACTGCTCTGCTGCCTCATGATCAGGTGCTACACATCATTTCCCAAACACTTCATAAAACGTGTAAAATCGTCAAAATGGGAAGCTGCACATTCTCCCTCCCAGAATGGAAAAGAAAAGATGCTGCAGGCTGTTAGAAGTTGGGACCAATATGAGGGGTCACGCAAGGCAGCATTGTCAGGTCTCTAGGGAAGGTGTCACATACCTCACGGGGATCAAAGTAAGATCTGGCCAGAAGGTTTTCAAGGTGGATGTACCGCTCCGGCTGAGTTTGTTTCAGCATGATCATGGGATCTGTTTGTCTCAGGAGAGACCTGGCAGCACCCAGTTCCCGGAGCTCAATCAACTCCAGCACAACCTGCACCAAGAGACAAAGATCTGCGTCAGCCAAGGGTAAGCGGAGAACTCCAGAGAGGGCCTTCCATCCAGGTCAGAAAAGTCCGCACAGCCTGCCCTCACCCACCTGCTCGTAGAGGTCAATGAGGGTCTTGTCGGGCAGCTTCAGCGACTGTATGGCTTGCAGCACCGTGTCCCAATGCCCGCTGTTGATGTCAGCCACGAAGCTCTCAATACTGTCCACAGTGTTGAGGGACACTGTAGTTTCCTCCTGCAGGGTGGCGAGGGCTCGGTGGAGGCTGTTCTCCTTCAGGTATTGCATGATCAGCCGGATCACGCTGCACGGGAACAGTGCGCGCTCACTACACTGGACCCACTGGCCGTCCCGCCTGGGTGAACCAGCCACCGCCCTCACATCCCCCCAACCACCTCAGGGACAGAATCACAGAATCATAGGTTGGAAAAGACCTCTAAGATCATCGAGTCCAACCATCCACCCAACACCACCATGCCTGCTAAACCATATCCTGAAGTGCCACATCTGAATGTTTTTTAAACATCTCCAGGGATGGGGACTCCACCACCTCCAAGCGCAGCCTGGTCCAAGGCCTGACCACTCTTTCAGTAAAGAAATTTTTCCTAATATCCAATCTGAACCTCCCCTGACGCAACTTGAGGCCATTGTCTCTCG